TTCAATGGTATCAATTCTTTCCAACAGATCCAGTTTGGGTTTGCATGAATTGCAGTAATATGGAAACTCATTGGATGATTCCAGGTATTGAATAAATTGCTTGGTTAATCCCAAGCAGTCATGATGAGTGTATTTCTTACACAGAGAACATTTGATGGAGTTTTCATTATCCTTTAGATTTTTGTAGCATTTAAGGCATGTGCAGGAGTGTTGTGGATCATTGGTGGGGATTATGTTCTCTGTAGGTAGTGCTTTGGCATAGGATTTTTTCTTGTCATGGTAGGTTTGTTAAGATGGTACGTTGATTAAATTAATTAATGGAACAATATCACACCAATCAATCATCAATTGCAGTAATCTCTCTAGTCAGATAATATTTCTGGGCAACAATCAGCCTAATCAATTAAATATTCTAAACACTAATCAATTAATTACACTAATCATTAATCACACTGTTCATTTAAATTCACTAAATCATTGATTTTACTATTCAATTAAAATTACATGCATATTGTAATTTTATTATGCATATTGTATATACAATATGCATATTGTATATTATTATTATTATTATTGTATATATTATTAATATTATTATGCATATTGTAATTAATCCAATCTAGGATTGGATTTGTATTTATAATAGCAATAGTACTTGGACTTATATGCCACTTAAACTCTCTCTAAGTGGATTACAAAGTCAGCCTATTGCCCCCAACAATTTTACTGAACTCGGAAGGATGGAAGGCTGAATCAACCTAGAGCCTGTTGAGACTTGAACTGCCAAACTGCAGTCTGTCAGCTCTAGTGCTGCATTCTAACCATTGTGCCACCACAGCTCATAATGTTCTACATGTTTGGTAATATGAAAATAAAATCCCTTCCTTTTGTTTTCATTTCCAGGAAAGATTTGAAACACCTCGACACATTGTTTGTGACAAACACCAATGATAAATTATTTTATGAAAATTCTCAGCTTCCCATTGAGCATTGTACCCTCCTCACATAGGAAATTTTCTTCAAACATTTACTGTGAATTAATACAGAAATAACAAAAAATAAAATTATCCAAAATGACACAATGTATAATTTACATGTTTTATTCCCTAGCATTCTAAAATCTATATAGTTGAAATAATTACCTCTGATGACTACTAGTAAGAACACAAGGTTTAGTCACATTTTTGCTCCCTATAATGAAGGAAGGAAAGCGACTGGAGAAGATTCAAGAAATAGGATGAAACCATGAGGCTCCTTTAAAAGGGAAATTTTGCCTTGATCTACATATCTGTTGGGATAAAAAAAAGCCCCACATGACATTGACTAACTATTTCAGTAAACACAACTTCCATCTGTGTGTTTTTAATTAACATTCAAGCTTTAATAAAAAGGTTGGATCCATTGCTTTTTCCTAGGAGTTTACATTCAGTAAAACCAAGTCTTGAAAAAAAAAAAATTCAAGGACTTCAGCTTCTCAGTATGTAATGTAACCTCCTGAGATGTGACATTTTCTTAAGACCTTTACAGTGAACTATTATGTGTCGGGCTCCATATTCAACTATGCCCATCAGCAATAAAAGACATTAATCATGGATCTCTCCCACCAGCAACGAAATGGATGCGGAATGGGGATTCCCTATGATGCTGCCTCGCACTGCTACCTGGGAGTGGGAGGTTGAATGGGAATTTCCACATGATATGGCTTAATAATATGTATAATAATAATAACATATTTTATTATTATTAGGAAAAAATAATTTAAAAAATTGCTACATGGAAGAGTTGGTCAAAGTATTTTCTAAAGCACTTGAAGGCAGGAAAAAAAGCAGTGGATCAGTAGTGGGATTCTACCAGTTTCCCTAGCGGTTCGGTGATCACGCACTTAATGCATGCCCAGCTTTCCAAACACCAGCTGAGGCTCTGCCACACCAATCAGCTAAGAGAATAAAGAACAGAAAAGCGCAGGGGTGGGTGGGAATACTGTACTTTTCGTTCTCCTGTCAGCTGATCGTCAAGAGTTTTTTTTTACCACTGGTTCATCCTGAACTGGTGGTATTTCACCACTGCAATGTTGAAATGGAAACTAATGGATGGAAACTAATCAAGGAGAGAAGAAACCTAGGATTAAGGAGAAATTTCCTGACAGTGAGAACAATTAAGCAGTGGAATGACTTCCCTTCAGATGTTATGGATGTTCCATTACTGGAGGTTTTTAAGAAGAGAATGTACAACCATTTTTCAGAAATGGTATAAGGCCTCCTGCTTGAGCTAGGGATAGGACTAGAAGAACTCCAAGGTGTCTTCCAACTCTGTCATTCTGTTTTTAGGGGTCCAAAATAAGAAAATATACAATTGTACTTGTTTTATTCCATAACACAACTTTTCTGGGTGCATATAGGCAATTGGATTTTTGTGACAACGTTGCCTGCAGAATCAAAATGAAGCAGAAGACACATCTTCTTGAATCTCCAAGGAGATCCTATCACAGCAGCAATTTCTCCAATTTGTGTTTGCCAATTTGGATATTTAGAAGAATTATGCAAAAGTTTCTTTCCATGCTTCTGCCCTGACACTAAAAAACTACATTCCATTCCAGAGAAGCCAAATCAACTGGTAAACAGGAAAGTTGTCTTGGAATTTTTTATTTTGTTATGGCAAATCCTTTGATACTTGTGGGAATTATTCTTTGTTCTTTGCGTACGTGCAAGGACAACGGGCCTTCTGGTAGTTGACTGCAACACGAAGCAAGGAACAAGGTCAAACTGTTGCCATTTCTTACCCAGAATTGTAGCAAACTTAGACTTTGCAGCTTTGTATGCTTACACGAATAATCAGTGCATTTTGTGTGATGTAATGCGTTTGTGACAAGACACTAACAAAATTGTTACAAGGATTGCTTCTAATAAAAGAGGGTGTCAGAGTATGTTTTGTGCTCTCATCCCGATCTTGCTTCAAGACGTTGTCTCAGTGTTTTCATTCATGAGAGACCACCAGTGTTTTCATTCATGAGAGACCACCACAAATGGTGACCCCGACGTGATCCATTCAAAAGTGATACATCTTTGGACCATCCATACTCATCGGCTGGCATAGCCTTGGTGCACCTCATCCCTGATTCAATCGCAGGCAATCGCCGTGGATCCCTCGTGAGTATGGGTGGAGGATTCTCTCAGGACCAGAAATTGCACATTGAGGAACTAAGAGAATTAACCAAACGAAATTATTTTACCTTTAAAAACGGGGGCTCCCTTCATGCCCCCCTCACAAAAACTTCTATTGAGGAACTCCTAGAATACATTTGGCAACACTGCCCTTCTTATCCGGCTAAAGGCAGTATCAAAACTACAGTATGGAAGGAGATTGGGAAACTTTCATGAAAGTCCTAGAACCCCTTCATCTATATTAATTGCTTGGAGGGTGGTTTTTGAGGCTATGTCCTTTCTAGAGCAACCCCTACTTGCCCCCCTTTCTGCACCCCCTCCCTATGTGAATTCTGCTGTACAACTCTTGCCCCCCGTTGTGACGCCTGTGTCTCTTAAACCGACTGCCCCCCCCCAGGCAAATGAGGTCAGTAAATCTCCCCCGACAGCTCCTAAAAATCCATCAGGAGATGTCAAGGTGGGAAATCCTAAAATGCAAGCAGCTTTTCAAGCAGGACAGCTGGAGGGGGGGGGAGATTGACTCCATGCAATTGTTTCCTGTTCAGAGGCAAATTGATAATGCAGTGAATTTACAGGCTGTCTGGAATCCACTGCCTTTATCTCTTTTACGAGAAGTAAAGAAATCTGTGAGGGACTATGGCATTCAGGGTCCATATGTCCAGGGTTTGCTTCACAGTCTGGGGCAAGCTCAAAAGATGATTCCACAAAATTGGAAAGAATTAATGAGAATGATTTGAACGGGACACAATACGTGGTATTTGATGCAGAATATCAAAGAGAAGCAAATAACAGAGGAAATAATTTAGGGGGTTTGTATATACCTGATCAAATCTATGGGGCAGGGCAGTTTGCAACTGTGGAGCAGCAGGCAATAAATTTGCAGCCTTTGGTCACGCGAAGGGAGGCAACCTTGGCAGATTTGATTAAAGCTTGTGCTGTAGTAAGTTCGCAATTTTATAACATGGAGACCTTGGCTGTAGCTTTGCAAAAGGGTCTTAAACCTACTGGGAATTGCTTCAATAGTGGGAAGCCTGGGCATTTCAAAACCCAATGCCGGGCCCCAGAGGGAGGTGCTGCTCTTTTTCGGAAGAGTTGGCCTTGCCTCGTTCCTCAGCTTCTATGAAAGTTTTTTTGTGATTCCAGGGATTATTGATCAGGATTATACAAATATTATAAAAATTCAATTTTATTCAGATGTACCTGCTAATCTTGCAGCTAGAATGACTCACCCTCATGCCCTCCTCAAAGGAATCTCTGTGGTTCCCGATCTGCTTTATCCTTCCTCAAAACTCTCAGCCATTAACCTTTCTTTTTTTTTTTTTAACAAATTTTATTAATTTTTAAAGAAATACAAAACATAAATACACAGAAACACAAAACATAAAAGCATAAAAAGTCTCTTTTATGAAAGTTGCTTAGTCCCGGGTCAAAACTCTTGGTACAGACACAAATTCAAATTTGTGTTCATTTTGCATACCATTCCATATCTTATTGGCATTTTCGGTTTTCTGCGTAGCTTCTCCTCTCTTTTAAATTTTCTCAATTTTATTTTGTTTATCTCCTCTCAATTTGAATCATAGTGTTTGTCCTTCTTTGTCTGTTCTATTTCCAGCTATCCATTTGTCTTTCTTCTTTGAAGAAAAACTTCTCCTGTGCACTAAATGGAGTATGATGCCTTTATCTCTTTCCCCTATGTTTATAATACTTAATATAGAACACATAACTTGCATTGGGATTCTGTCTGGTGCGTTCTGAAATTATGCAGTATTGTTAAAACCAATACAGGTTTATTCATTGGTGTTGATGTTCATTTGTGTCTTGAACATTTGGCGCATTGCTTTTCGGTTGAATCGCATGCTTTTATGGGAGTACCTATTTTCCGTGGTTGTTCCCCCCACATCACATATTATAGATCATTATTTCATTGCAGTGTTCCCCCTTCTCCTACTTCAGGTCTCTCATTTCACAGGGAGTTTCACTGGGATAACATAGTCTAATCATTGATGTTGACAATCATTTATGTCTTAAACATTTTACCCCTTTCCGTTAGATATCATGTCTTTGTGGGAACACTTATGCTTTCCAAAATTGTTTCCCCCCCCCCCCACATC